ACAGTCCTTCAAAAAAAAAAAACGTAAACGAAGGAATAATATATCATTTTGTGACAGAAAATTGAAGCGTTTACTTCTTTTTATTCTAAAAATATTTTCTATTCTATTAGAACCAACATTTGTTCACTGTTTTCCACTTTCTGAGCCATAAAATGTTTGTTAAATTAGGGATGGGATCAATGAATTAAAGCAAGAACTAATCAAGACCAGCTGACTTTTTAGTTGTTTATATCCCTAGCATGAGTACGGATGAGAAGTTAGTACATGGTCGTATGTCCGTATAAAGTTTACACATACGAGTGTAGTACGGATATGAAAGACACAAGTATGAATATAATGTGGACATGAGAACTAGAATTGTTCTAGTGCTTCATAAGTTATGTATCAAAAAGGTTGGAGATGATTTATAATGTTTATCATGTCTGATATATTTTTTTTTGTGACGAAATTGACATGATTGCTTCGATTCAATTTTTATTATTTTCCTAGTTATAACTGAAGAATGACGTATTAATATTACGAACAAAAAATACAGTATCATGAAAAAGAAAGAGAGAAAAAAATATCAAAAGGTGAAGTGCAGACGAAAAGAAAAATGCTGAAAAGGAAAAATCTCGAAAACAAAAAAGGAAAAATTCATTTTTATTATACTAATCATAAGCAGCGATAAAAAAATTATTGAGTAACGAAAAAGAATAGGAAACTTCATAACATACATTTAGATAAAATATTACTAAACATAAGATAATAATGATTCATTTCTTTTTTATGCAATATTTTTAGCAACAACCTAAGATAACCTATGAAAAAGTTCATTAGCATCAATATCACTATTTTCGGGTATTTCTCTAGATTGACAATACTTTCTATACCAAGCGATGTAATTGGCAGAGAACATCAAAGAGTATGGGTGCTACGATGTCGCTGATCTGCAGAAATACCCAAGATTTCATAACAGTGCGAAACGTTTTCTTATTTATTTTTTGGGACTTCTTAAAATTTTTCCTTACAATATGATTAGTCGATTAAAATTTTGAATCACTTACGTTCTTCAACTTTTGTTGGATTATCAATTCGTTCAAATTGTCCTCGATGTACATTAGCATGAAGTAAATAGGCTAATTCATCTAATTCTCTCGATGTCATTATCATCGAACGAGATTCTAGATAATATTTATTGATTATCTAATAGATTTTTCTAAAAAAAGAAAAAAAACAAACTTACCATTTTGTACTGTTGAATCCAATGAATGTGATGAAGTATAACTTTTTTTATCAATTGAACTTGTTCGTGGAGGAACTAATATGAGATAAAAAAAAAGAACCCTGAATTGAAGCAATAACAAAAGAAATGAATAATAAAGTTTTACTTTCAGTTTTTGTTTGTTCGACATAACTTATTTTTCTATGTCTAGTTGGAAGCACAGAAACGGGTAGCGGCTGTTTTAATGGTGAAATAGATGTATTAAGTAATGTTTTTATGCTATTATTTGTATCATCACTTGTTGAAACAATTTTTCTATAAATAAATAATTTTATATATAAAATTTAAAAAAAAATCAACTATTTACTCAATAATTTCATTTAATAAATCTTTAATAATAGGATGATTATCATATTCCATTTTAAGATGTTTTGTTTTCGATTTATAAGTTTTTCCATTTTGTTGATTAAGAATTATATTTTCATTATCACGTCGTCTTTTTCTTATACGTTGTGACGATGATAATTTCATAATAGGTGATGCTGTTAAAGATCGCTTATTATTAATGATCATACATTTCATAACTGTTGAATTTGAAAGACCAGTTAATGATTTTGATTTAATTGGCTTTAAAACGGTTTCATGTGATTGAAGACATGACATCATAAATGATGGTAATATTGGACATGATGATGATAATGAACGATTACGACGTTTAATTGATCGTTTGGAATGAATTGTTGAATCATATTCAGCAAGGGAATCATCTAGAGGCAAATGATTTTGTGCTAAATCTGGTGATGATGATGTTAAAGATGTTGGAGATAATTCACTTGTTGGTGGTACAGACCAATCAACTAATGAAGATGTATGATCAGTATGTAATGAATGACGTTTAGATGTAACTTGATGATGTGGATTATGATTAATAGTTGACGAATCAACTTCCCCAATAGCTAAAAAACGTATTAAATAGAAATTTTTTTTCTTTAATATTTTGTGATAACGAAAATTTTTCCCATAAGAAATGTTATGTTATTAATTTACTAATAAGAAATCATGAAGTCGAATTTTATTCTTCGAATTACAAATATGACTTTACTTTCGATGATTTTTCTTATTTAAAGTTAATTCTGTCAATATTAGCTTAATGACAGTTCTACATACATATACAGAACTAACGAGAGAATCTCTTCAACTTGAAAATCGCTTTTGAATTCAGACTGTGTGCTTGAGATAGAACCTAATGAGATATTAAAAATCCGAAAAGGATATAGGATCACTAGACCTACTTGTAACTGTAATGTTCTGAAAATTTCCACTATACAAAATATTTCCTTTACGTGATACTGAATTATCAAAAGTCACTCAGATTCTACAAAAGATTCGATCATCTCACGTTATTTAGAAATCTAATATCTTATGAAAAGACCATTCTTTGAGTTGAAATTCTATGTCAAAATATTGTCACTTGATTCTTTTATCCATACCATGCTATAGACTAAGTTTTCAGCAAACAACAATAGGTTTGTATGGCAGACCTAGAATTCCTGATCCTGTTAGAATTTTTCATATCTTATTGGGTTCTACTTAATGCATAAAGTTCAAACTCATAAATGATTTTCAAGTTGGGAAAATTCACACGTAAGCCTCATTGGTTTTGATTGTGCACATATTATATATGGATGTAAAATATTTAGTAACTAAATAATTCAGAGCATTTCTGTCATTTCTTTTGTTTGAACTATAACTAAACCATGAAGGAAAATATTTATGAAATTCTATCTTTTTAAAATAGACATTTAAAACTTTTGTCAATAATCTAATTGTATATGAGAAGTATTGAATTGGTAGAAAATGACTTTTTTCTAGAATTGTTCATACAATTTTACATTGTCAGTAAAATCTTAAAAGAATTTCGAAGAATGTTTCTCAGAAATAAAACTGAAACACATTTTCCACTTGGCTGATGAGCAAATATTATAAAACTAACAATGATGACTCATTTGTTTGATTTTTAGATTATCTAATCCTACTCATATCAAATATCAATAAAAATTTTTACGTAAAGTATGATATGATTATAGTACTGATAAACTCTTATTTTTGAATTGTCGCTTATTATTACGTGTTTTTTTATGATAAAGGGGTCAACGATTTTCAAAAGGATGCAATCAACCTTTTTTTTTGTTACTTTCTATGATGCATTCATCGAACAGAAAGAGTAATTAATAAAATAATTCGAAAAACAAACTTGTTTTTTTTTTCTTCGTACCTTTGATAATGATTGTAGGAGTTTCATTATTTTTTCCTTGTTCTTCTTTATGATTGTTTGATGTGTGAGATAATACATTTCGAACATTTGAATTATTATTATCAATTACAGGAGGTGGAGGTGTTGGTGGTAATGTTGTTGATGAATGATAATCAACACGAGATTGTTGTTGTTGTTGTTTTTCTGTCATATCTATTGGAATGTCAAGTAAAGTAGTTGATGATGACGATGATGATGGCAAAAAAGTTTGTTGTTCATGATTAATTGAATGTGTTGATGTTGATGAAATTAAAGAAGCTGTTTTATCATTTCTTGCTGATGGTACATACAAAGTTTTCGTTAATTGAATTTTTGTTGGAATGCGTAATGCCGATGCAAGACCATCACCACTTGAAAGCATTTTTATTGATGATGATGATGACGAAATTGTTGATTGTGGTACAACTAATTTAACTAATTTTGTTGATGAATTTGAATTTATATTTCCATCAAGTTGTTGAATAATAACATTATCTGTACGTGCAGATTTTTTCGATAAATCCGGTGTTGTTACAATTGTCATCATCGATGGTGGAATAACAACATGTGCTGATTTCGTCTAAGGTGACAAAAAAATTTTTTTAAAATAGAGATTAAAATTAAGTAATTATTTTTTTTCCTAGGAAAGATTCTGTTCATAAGTTGGAATATTATTGTTGTTTCAAATATAAAATTTTCGTTTATCTCTATTTTCTTAAAATTGTGATGTTACATTTCTAGAATTATTTATTTTCATGTATCATTACAAAAAGTAAAATAATGATATGAGATTGTAGAATGATGAAGATACTTTATCCGATCAAATAATTATTGATAAATCCTATGTAACACAAAGCGGACCAAAAGCCGTCGGTAAAGTGATCGATTATCTTCTGACCGTTATTCTACCACAGTATATGTATAGTTGTTCCTTGATCGGCAATCGACTGTCGGTATTTCGTTGATAGTGAGAGCAAACGTGCAACACCAATTAACTGATGATATATAAAAACCATGTTTATAATATAGTACCATTAGATTTAAATAACGTAGAAAGGTAACTCGAATTTTTTTTAAAGAGGAAGTAGAATGCTTTGAATTTATAGTCGTTGGAAATAAAACTTTGTCATCACAAATTCAACATTTATGATGTCAAATTAGGAAAAAAGAACTATCACATACAATTAATTTTTTTTTTCGGACGAATAAAAAGTTTATCAATGAAAATTTAAGATATAGACTATAGGAACAAATTTTTCTTACTAAAACTTTATTTGATATTTGTTTTGTTCTTTCAAATTCGTCGTCACTATCATAAGTAGTAATAGCATGTTTTTCATCCATTGTTGTTGATGATTTAACAATTAATGGAATAGATTTTGCTTTTTTTGTATACATTGTATCTGTTTTCCTATTAGAGTTTTGATTACTATGATTCGAACCTAGAATAAATGAACAATCAAATTTTTATTTTTATCTTTCTATTTAATATTATTAGTAGAATTAAGAATTATTTTTATAAAATAAATTGAACATACCGTTAACATCAATTGTTGATTGAAACGTATCATTAAATGTTCGCATTGTTGGTGACGCATATTCTTGATTTATTGAATGATTTGAATTTGATGATGATCGGCTTGAATCTGATGATGACCTTTTATTATCAATATGTCTAAATTGTTGTTTTGGACGACTTTGTCTTTCATTTTGTTCATTAGATTTGTTTAGAAGAATTTCATTTCTTCCTGATCGACGTAAATTTTTATGTGTTGAATGACGTGAATTTGATGCTGATAAACCATGTCGTTTGGCTGTTGGTGGTGATGGTGATGGACGTATAGAAGAAGATATTGGTCGTTTACGATCATTATTAGTTATTGTAGAATTTGTGGATGATATCGTCGCTGTTGACGATGACATTATTTCAATATTGATATTGTTTGTTATTTTTTGAGCATTGAAAATTTAGCACTAACAATATGTACAAAAAGAGACGATGGAATCTAAAAAAAAAAAAATATGATTACATGGTACCAAATATGACTAAAAAAAACCTTGAACGAAGAAGAAGAATCTTTTTTTCTTTCTCAAATCGGGACGATGACGACGATGATGATAGAAGTACTAATAAAAATAATTGGGAATGGATAAATTGATCAACGAATAGAATTTGTTCTGTTTGAATATTTATATTAATGTCGTGTGGTTATTACTATGGTAACAGTATTGAAATATGGCGATGAGAAAGAAAACATGTACATATTTTTCTTCGATTTGTTTTATAGATTTCATTAAACAAAATTTTGTTTGTTTAAACTTATGAATTAATAATACGATTTTTTTAATAAAAAGATATTATTGAAAAGGGTTTCTCGAGACTAATATTTTTCAATATGGAAGGTTCTCTCTCATTGAATTTTTATTTCTTCTATATTAGATATTTTTTGTTGTGTTTGTAAAGAACACATTTGTGAATTGAATTGATTACGATTATTATTTAAAGAGGAATCAAAATGTCTTGGGATATTGAATTAGATGATCAATTATTACAAGATCTTTATGCATGGCTCGATCAAATCCCATTAAGTCGACCAAAGAAACGTATTGAAAAAGATTTTGCTGACGGTGGTATGTAGTACATTTTAGTTTTTAAATACCTTTTGAACATTGAAATATTTTTTTATTTATTTTGAATTCTCATTTGTTGTTGTTTTTTGTACTTTAGTTATGGTTGCCGAATTAATTAAATATTATTTTCCTAGTTGGGTAATTAGTTATAATAATTAATTTGAATTATTATTATTAATTCTTTTTTTGATTAATTTATTTCAATAGGTTGATCTACATAATTATGCAGCGGCGAATAGTACACAACAGAAATTAATTAATTGGGGTCTTTTAAATAGAAAAATCCTTTGCCGATTTGGTCTTAATGTACCGGAGCCTGTTATGCGTGGAATATGTCTTGGTCGAAGTGGACTCGTCGAAGTATTTCTTTACAATTTAAGAACTAAAGTCGATGAGTATGTATTATAATAGGATTTATTCGGGTTAAATTTCAGCCATAGTTTAAATAGATGAAATGAATCTTCTGTTTACTCTTTCAGTTATCTTTATGGAATGGAAACGAATCCGAGTGATCCTCAATATCGGTTTGTTTTAAATATATAATAATAGTTTGTGTTTTGAATGTGAATTAATATAATATTGATTAACAACATTTACTACTAATGAAAACTAAATGTTAGTAGTAGTTTGTTTGGCTTGTGAAGATGAATTTTTTATATTAGAATTTGAATGAGATTTATTTAAACAGTTATTAAAAATTTTCTTTCTCTTTTTAGAGTTCTTCATCAACAGGCTAAAACAAGTGAATCTAATGCCATAACACCTCGTCATCGTCAACAGCATTCACCACCACCACTACCACCGCCACACCAACAACATCAACAGTATGAAGAAAACCCAGTAAAATACGCAAGTAAGACTAGAAAATGTTGTATAAATGAATCTGATAATTTTTCAGTAACAAAACATGCAGAGGACTGGGAGTTAGAAATAATACTATTTTAGATACACCTTCTTATTTATTACATTACAATCAAGGTGATACAAATAATATTATATTTAGTGAATTTACTGTTTTCGTTTATTTCTTCTTCTTTTTTATTTTCTTGATTGCTCTTAGATACCGACCATGGTTATGACAATAGGGTAGTGAAAAATAATTTAGAGAATATTCAATATCTGTTCACCATTTTTTTGCCATCTTGTATTCATTATTCTTGCATGCTTATTTATTTCCCAACTATTTATCCTTCTAAATTAATATAAATTTTTAATAATTTTTCATAATTGATAATTATCTTGGTTTTTATTTTTTTCTTATGGATAGGTATGGGATCAAAACCTAAGCCACAAGGAGGAAAGTAAGAATTAGTAGGAAAGATGATTATTTCTGATTTATGTAATTTATTTAAAGTATACCAAAAAAAGCAACATCAATGCAGAACTTGAGTGCAGACATGGTTAGTCGTATTGAATATGATGAAAAAGAACAAGAATGTATTGCCAAAGAAGAACAAATTCAAGTAATTTTGTTTATTTATTTATTTATTTTTTATGTACGAAATTGTTTTTTTTTTCTTATAGATTTTACAAGCAAAAATTCGACGTCTAGAACACTTACTTCATTTAAAAGATATTCGAGTGGATGATTTGGCAGAAAAACTTGATCAAACCAGAGGTGTACCTGGTAATAGTGGTGGAAGATCAAATCGTCAACAGCAACCACATATACCAACCAATGGACGCAAATAAAGACCTTGGTTTCTGACGCTTGTTTTTTTCAAGTGTTTCATTTTTTTCTTTTTATTTATGATATACTTCACGTTTCTTTTTCTTTTGTCTCTTTCTCATTGCACTGGTTTGTTTTCATTTTGTATAAAAGAAACAAACAATAAAGCCAAATTGCAAAAAAATAAATCTCACCATTTCAAAAAATACTCTTATTTTTAGCGCCTATTCAATATTTAGTAAATAAAATTTTCTGATGCTTTGTTTTTTAACAACTCCTAGAGAGTTTCTTATTCGATTATTATTAATCTTATGAAATAATCAGCCAACTAACTACACATGGTCAATGTAAATTTTGTCTGTTGGCTGGCAAAAAAGTGCTGAAATGATTATTTTTTTATACATAAATTTCATGTCTTTTGACTTTATAAAAATATGCAGGAAATAGGATATGTGTCGCTAAAGCATATTTTTTGTTTTACTGAGCAGTCAGTGAAAATGTTGACTATTTCTATTCACACATAGGTGGCACGATTTGTTTTAAATTTAATTATTCTATTCAAAAAAGATTCATTTTTAATAATCAATTTCGTCGATTCGATTGTAGAACAGAAAAAGAGAGTAACAGGAATGTCATGTCAAGCAATGCAATTCGACTCAATGCTCTGATAATGTGCAAGAGCGAAGAAATTGGTTAGTTTTTTTTTTTGGCGAACCGAATCGAGTTTCGATGGAGCAAAAATTACGACCAGTTCATATCTTAATTACCAGTGACATCTGATTTTAATATAATTCCACTCTCTAGCAGATTTGTTTCTCAAATTTTATTTCTACAGAATCCATTAATCTCAAATAAACATAAGTAATATCAATTCTTTCGAACCGATCCCATATTTGGCGTTCAAGCTCTGACCAGTGACATTTATTTACTATAGTCTTACGTCATTCAGAACGCACTCATGTTCCGATCTGTAGACAACGATTGCTTTGGTCGCCAATATCCCATAACGCTAACCAGCCAAATGTCTAAATATATTATTTCATTTCATATCCACTAGACAATTCGATAGAATAGATATTGACTCTTTTCGAACAAGATTTGCTTAATAAAATTTCTAAAATACTGCCACTTATTTGCCATTTAAAGTTCATAGTGTTCTTTAGAATGGTGGAGAGAAAAACTGTTTTTTTTTAATGATTATGATTAAACTATGACATTTGATTATTATCATATTCATTAATTCTTTTTAATAAAATATTATTGTAATATGTACAAATTATTTTACGTTGTATTTACTTAATGCCTCATCAAACGTATTGATATAAAGATTTCATTCATTGTCATAATAACAAAAAAAAAGAAGAAGAAAACGATTAATTCTTGTTATGAAACACCTTTTTTCTCTCTTTCTCTTTCTGTCTATCAATTATGATCGCAAATTAAAAGACAAAAGAAAGCATAAATATAACAACACTGTTCACTTGACGAGAGAGAGAGGTCAGTTATAGCAACAAACAACAAGAGAAAGAAAAAAAGAAATAAGGCAAAAACAGACAGAAGAACAAAAAAAGGAAACAAAATAAAGTAAGAGAACAGAGAGAAAAGAAAACTGCACACAGAAGAAAAAACCCAGGAAAAATATTTGACAAGATCGCATTATTCATCAAGATTTCATTGTTGAAAATATTGTTTTTAATGAACGTTTATTATTATGACGATTTTTAGGAATAGGTGGTGTTGGTGCAAGTGTTGCTCGATTATTAATTAATGTACCATTTAAGGTTGTATTTGAATTTAAATTATTTGTTGTTCGTTGTTTTGATTGATGATCAAGATGAAGATCTATATTAAAAGAAAGGACAAACTTCTTATATTTTGTTCATAGGCTGAAAAGAAAAAAAAAGATTTGTTTACCTTCATGTGAATCTCGATCAATTGATTTTTGTCTTGCTATTGAACGAAAAAGAAATTTATCTGTAAATGCTTTATTATTATTCGTTTCTAGATATTCAGCTTTTTTAACTAGAACAAATTTTGAATTGGTCGATGTCCATAATCGTTGTATACCATAGATTTTTTCATCATCAGCTAATAAACGACGTTTTATTGGTATACGTCGAGTAGTATTTGTTTTATTTAAATCTGTTTCTTCTACAAGTCCATAATCATTTGGCATACCTGTCATACGTATTTTTGTCATTAACTAAAAATAAATTATAATTTAAGAGATTAAAGAAAATGAAAGAAATTCTTTTTCTTTTTTTACTTGTGTTATAACATGAATAGCAGTTGAATTAGCTGGTGTTCGAAATGTTGTATGTTTTTGTATAGGTGAAATATTATAGATGGTAACAAGAAATGTTCGATCACAGTTTTCCCAATTTTGTATATTTTTATCAATTAATGTTGATAATGATAAATGTTGCTAAAATGAAAATTTATTTGAAAATAACTAAATAAGAATCATATTTATTTTAATTTTTTTACTTGTGTTTGTTCTTTTCTTTTACTTAAAATAACTGTTTCACGACCAACACGATCAATAACTTCAAGAATACGTTCATGTTTTTCTAAAACTCGTGGTGGTATATCAGTATGTTTCGATGATGAAGAAGATTTCTTTTTCCATGTTTTAGACGATTCTGTTAACACTATATCATTTATTGTTTCACCAACTTTTAGAAAATCATTTGCCTTAGCAATCTAAAACAAGAACAAACAAATATGAATAAGAAAAAAACAAGAATCTATTTTACCATTTCCATAAGTTCTTCAACTGTTGTATATTGTGTTACAGCAAATGGTCGAAATTCTTCATCACGTCCATCTTTTCCGTAAACTTTAACTTCAAATGTTTTATGTTTAGGTCGAATAGATTCCCGACTTGCCTATTTAATCAAACGAAAAAAAAAACAGTACATGATTTTGTAGAAAAAAAAAGAACATTTGATAACATACAGCAACAACTTCTGGTGGATCAACTGTTCGTCTTAATATTCGATTACGAAATAAATGTGGTGTATTTGATGTTGATAAATCTTGTTCAGGATTTCGTATAAGAATTGTTTCAGTTATTTTTGAATAAATAAATAATGTTGCCAATTCTAATGGAACATTTGTAATATCTCTTAGACGAACATGTCGATAACCAGCTCGAAGACATTTTAATGGCATAACACGTTGAGACATTAAATGATTACTTCCAGCATCGTATACATGAAAACGAACAAATGCTAATTCGATGAAAAAAAGCTAAAAAAACAATGAAAAATCGAAATTATTGAATAAGTCAAATTAATTTTATTATATTTTCAAATTTAACAATAGAAATATGTATGATTTAATTTTTTGAAACATTAATCGAATCAAATGAATGTTAAAATATTGCAAAAATCTGTAACTAAAAAATTTACAAAATTAATCTAAACTCAAAACAAAATTAGTTCAACAATCTTTAAGTTCAATTAATCATTATGCAATTGTTTGTTTTTTTCCTTTTAGAAAATTTTTCATCATCATCACAGTAATTACTTTTATTTTGAATATTTCTTTTTTTTTCTTTGTATTCTAGAATCCCAAATATTATACAAATGTTTGCAAAAAAACCTTGTACACATTTCTCTGCAGGTATTTCTTTATATGCATTTCTATTTGGACTTTTTCATCCTTCGAACGATAGACCACAGAGTATTCTATGGTAGTATAATTGAAAATTTTATTCACCTATTTTTAGAAGAAATAGCAAAATAAAACATTAGTCTTTCCCTAAGCAACGTACAATGTCGTACGACACTAATTACAACATTTTAAATTCTTTCGTTAAAAACTATTCAAGTACTTTGATGTTAATTTAAAATTTATGTTTTATCCATAACTAAACATTGTCTATATGATACAGATTCAGCTTATGAAGCTAATCGATCAAATTATTTATGGCATTTGTAGAGGCGTAACTCAGCACTGTGAGCAGAGAGGGGAAGTGCAAAGTGGTTGAGTCCTGGAAAAAGGAATACTGCGTAAAAGATTTTCAAAAGTAGGGAAGCGTTGTGTGGACAAGTTTCAGAAATAAGGGGTATCCCGCCCAACGAGTTCGCATAAGGTCCTCCTAAAGGGAGAAACAGAAGGTTTCATAAGACTTCAAGACTGAAGTCCCTATTGTTTTCCCTCAATACACTTCTGAGTGTATTATTGTTGATAAATTCTTTATTAATACTACTGGTGTATTTGAGTTTGTAATCAAATTATAAATGTTGATTTTCGCGAAATTTAATTAAAAAGAAAAATGTAACATCTCTTTGGATTGTCTACATGTTTTGTTTATTTCTTCAAGTGACATCTGATTATGAGGACGAATATATTGATAACCAACTTTTTTTTTCTTTAATACTGAAAGAGTATCATCGACCGATTCTTCCTCAATGCCTAACTAAATGTATTGGTTTAAATTTTTTTATGTTATGAAGAGAGAATTCCAATGAAGATCTTTATTGAATGCTTTACAAAGCAAACTAATCTCACGATATTAAATAGATAACAGTTACTCAAAAGAGAACTGGATGACATATCTGAATTAAGAAAAATAATTGCATTAGTCATAACATCCTTCCGTTCTCCAATTAAAATCAAACAATGATTGAAAAAAATGAAATCTATAATGATTTCATAAAACATGTACATACACTACCAAAAACAAAAATTCTCATTTTCTTTGTACAAATTTTTTTTTGCAAACAATCATACATAGAAGGAAAAATTCGAAACTTTTAAATAGTAATATTCAATGTAATTAATAAATGGAGAATTAATTATAAAATGAAAATCTAATTCTCATCTATTCATACGTAAATAATTAATACAAAGAAACTTCTTTTTCTTCTATAAAATCTAGATAAATACCTGGAAGACAAATGTCTCTTGCCAAATAGGATTAAGTGAATTTTTAACAGATGGTTTTGTTTTTCTTGACATACAGTCAATTGGTATACCAAGAAGTTCAACTTCAATATAAACACTTGTTGTTGAACCAATATTTTGTGTTAAATATTGACCAGAAATAATCTATATTAATGTAGAGGGAAAAAAGGATTTTTAAAATCTAAATTGAACTTTTTTTCTTTTCATTTAACTTACAGTAACTGTCAATTCAAAACATGGACCTTCACGTTCGATTACGGATGGATTAAAATGAGCATATTGTGGATGTTCTTTATCCCAATACACATTAGGTTTAAGAACAAAACCACAATTACCATTTTGTTCGAACATAGTTAAATTAAGGATTTGTCCAGGATCTATTAAAAGAAAATTGTTTTTTTTTCTAGAATAATAAATCGAATAATTTTTACCAAGTGTTTGATAATTGGTTGCAGCCAATCTATAGAAATTTACAATAAATATTAATATTAAGAAAATATTCTCATACATACTGAATGCCGTATGTCCATAAATGTAATGGATTAAAATTTGATGAATCAACACGAAATCCACTTGGATAACATCGAACAAGTTGTGTTTCAGTATGACTAAACGAAAAAAATTTTTTTTTAATAATAAATTCGAATTGAAAGAAAATTCCTTACGCAATCATATCGACAGCTTGATTTTTACATAATTTTTTTGCTTTATTTTCAATTAATGATACGATTTGATGACAAGGTGAAACTTGATCAACTGATCGAGAACTTTCAGTGCCTATTATTAACAACAACAAAGAAACAACAATTAAATTAAATTCTTTTGATTTTATATGACATCAATTCATACTCGTACTCGTAGTACTTGGTTGTGCAACAAGCTGCTGAATATTACGTTTTGGGACCTTTCGGATTGGTTTACCACCAGTCATACCAGCTGCTGCTGTTGAACAACATAAACCTATCATTAACACGCAAAAAATATTTATCTCTTAAATACTATAATATAGTTTTTATTTTATTATAAGCCACGCCAATCAACGCAAAATTAATGAGAAATGAACGCAAAAACATAACATTTGTTGAATGACTTAATCAAAACACGAGCATTTAAGATTTAATGTGAATAAATTCTGAAATAGTTATTTCTAACGAAGGAACCATTCGAACTGATACTCGACGTTTGAATTCATATCGGATCTACAAAGATGCCTTGGTGAGACTAACAAAATTCTAAAATGATTCGCTCTCATGAGCCTTTGGAATCGAGTTATGATTGTTTTACTTAATTTTTGATTCAGTTTTAGGTATTTACTGAACAATGAAAAAGCAGAATTCCGATGTAAAATTTTTCTTATAGATATGTCTAATGATCCGAGTCGATGATCTTCTTTTAATTTAAAACTGAATTTTAAAACAAAAAGACACCTTCCTTTCAATAACGGAAAAAGTCTAACAGAGAAGTTCAATGTCTCCCTTCTAATGTACAATCGGTCTTTGGAACTACATGAAAAGTATATGTCCCTCAAGCGTAATTGATTCCATTCGGCGCTTATTACTAGTTTTGAAAATTGTATCGCATTAGTTTGTACTTCACGAGACACCTACTTTCAGCAATGCGCAGTCGTCATTCACTGTATCTCATAGTTTACAGATATATACCAATAATAATACTAAATCGCAATGAAATATATCGAAAGACCTTCATTTCAGTCTGCAATTGAAAGCAATTTTTTTTTGTAATTTCCGATTGAAGTTAATTAGACTATTTTATGATTGATCCGTTGCAAAACCTGAAATTTTCACTCGAACATAATGTTTTTCTCTTGTCATGATATCGAATTTTTAAATAAACTCAATTGTTGTACGATGCTTGTGGCAAACAATCATTTGTTTTAATGTTCAATATCTCGATAAAGGAAGACTCATTCCGAAAGAAATTTTCAAGATTTTTTTTGGAAGTCGTTCGGCTTATATATGGACACATTTTCAAATAGAAATTCTGGTTTTTGCTGTTTCTGTATGTGTGTAAAGGTGGATCCAAGCTCAGTAAAACAATCCTTACTTGAATTCAAAGGCTCATGCGGACGAACTCTTTTAGGCTTTTTCTAGTCTTGCTGGGCTCGCCTTGTACGTCCAATATGAACTCAAACAGTAAGCATCAGTTCAAGTTGCTCCTTCGTAAGCCAAGGTTAAAACTCAAAAAAGAAAAATGCTCGGAACAGACAAGATTGTAAAAGTCCAGGAATCTGAATTTTTCAGTATTATACCAATAATGTCTCGAAGAGGTCACATTTAGAAAGACCTACCGGAACGTTTAAATCAAATGTTACTTCTAATCTTTAAAAAAATTTTTATGTAACGATTAATCGGATCTCCGTTTATAAAAATTTCTAATTCACTCGATTACAAAATGAAATCAGTCTCTTTTCATAATTCGTAATTTTTAATTCAATCTTCTTAGAAATAAAGTGATTTTATCATTAATTTATTTTTGTTTTGAATAAACAAACCTCGAAATTTAATTGCTTGTGTATAAATAACAATGTCCGACAATTCTTTAGCCACCAATATAGCTGGTACTTTAACTATAACATTAGCTGATTTATTTGGTTTTAATACTTGATTAGCATCAATTGAACTACTACTTTTTAAACGTTGTCGTGGTTCACTATTTAATATACTATATCGACGTTGTTGATATGATCTCCTTAAAAGAATAATTGTATTAATTAAAAAGTAAAAGATCAACAAAAAAAGAAAATATTTTTTGTTTTTCTATTATTTTACTTACAAATCATCATCACCATCTTGATCAACATTTCCCGAAGCATGTGATTTTTTCAAATGATACATTGGTGAATCAGTCATAGAATTCGAACGTTGTGATTCTCCACTAACTAATTGTTCATCATTATAATCATCAATAAGTTCATCATCATCCGAATCTTCATCTTCTTCATTATCATCAGGTGATGAATAAACAGAATTTCTATAATTAACACTTAATTGTACTTTTTGTTTACTTAATTGTGTTGTTGAATGCATTTTATTAATTTTTTTATTTTTTATTAAAATTTTATATTTTAATTGATTTGGTGATGGTAATGATGGATCTTCATAAAAATCAGTATCAAACATATATTTTGTTATTAATTTATCACCAAATACTTTAACAAATATTTGTGCCATACGTGCTTGTTGCATTAATGAACAACGATTTTCAATTGATAATATAACAGGATATGGTGATGTTACAAATGCACTTTCATTAATAACTTCAACAACAAGTTTAAATGATATTTTACTAACAAATGTACGACCATGATATATAACTGGATAACCATCATCACCATCCCAACAATCAAGTTCAACACAACGACAACCGGATAAAAGAACCTAATAGAATAAAAAAATAATAATTAGAAAAAAAACAAATTTTTATTAAAACTATTCTTACTTCACGATACATTTCAACTGATGATTCACCACGTAATTGATGTCCAGTTAAATATGTATTATGTGATGATGCAACAAAATAATATGATAATGGATAATCCATTTCCTTAAAAAAAAAGTATTCATTCATATATATAGATGATATAATGATATTGGGTTTTTCTATTACTTGTTCATTGACTTTTGTATGTTCATTAACAAAAGCATAATTTTCTTTATCCAATAAAAAACGTGAGAAGCCTTCGAATGAAAGAACTTTGTTTAAACGATTTTGTCGATTAGGTTCATGACGCTAAAAAATAAAAATAAAAACAAAATATGAATTATTTAGAAAAGTTTGATATTTAAAATGAATTAAAATTATCTGTGGAAAAACGAAGACTTATATTTGTTATTAAATTATATTTATTTAAACTGCAGTTAATTTTCTTTTTAGTGCTATATGTCTAACTTTTGATTGTAATGGATTGTATAGATTAAACAGGATAAAATCATTTTCTTTTCAGAGTCATTCTGACACACTTTCAGAAAGTCATTGGACAGAGAATTGTTTGCTCTAGGATACCCTCGTTCTTTTTGAGGTTTCTGAGAGAGCGATTCATCAGAAAAATTTAAATTTTTCAGAGAATATAAATCTTGGCGAGTACAACAAAAGTTGTTGTCCTGAATACTGTCTTCTATCAGATACTAGGATCACAATAGCAACATATGTCCCCAACTATTTCTTCGAGACGATATTTTCAATTGAGCTGAAATTTTCATTTTTACAAACGTGATACATTGTTTAAGGTGGGTATCTTTTTTTTTTTTTTTTATACAGTAAGAGTTACAAAAAGTCAACAGCATTTTATTTTTTGAAACAAAAAACAAATACTGATCCTAAACAATGTATAGTATATGTAAAAGAAGTTTCAGTTCGATCAGATGTACTAGACCGAAGAAGTGGGGATGTTTCTGCACTTTTTTTTATTGAAGAATTAGTTTCAGATTTATCCATATGAATAACACATGAAAAGATTGGTATTAATTTGTTAATAATGTATACTTACATAAATAATCTGTTCAATATCATAGGAAGTTTTATCTTCTTTTTGATGGTCAAGTAAAAAATCACGAAATTGTTCTTTTGTTATAAGATAATTTCCACGTGTATGTGTACTTATTGCATAACAAGGTATAGATGATATAGCAATCATATCATAAATTCGACGTATACTTGCATCAGTTATATCATCAACTATATTTCTTGTTATTAAACCGGTTAAATGTCTTAATATATCTAATGAATCATTTTTATATTGTTCTTTAAGTGTATAATCTTGTTCAAGATTAATTTCTGATGCAACTTTATCAAATAAATCTTTTAAATCTCGTCGACAATGAAAATAAAACGATTTAAATAATTCAACAAATTCAGGAAAATCCATATATGTCTCATTTATAATCCATGGTGATGATGTATCTTGAACTTGACTATTTGTATTTGTTGATGTTAAACGATTACCTAAACGTTTTGTATTAATTATACTATTTAAGGTATTTGTTGTTGTTATTGTTGTGCGATGTGTTGATGGATGATTAGTTATACCAGAACGTTGTTTACAATTAGTTTGATGATGTGTTAGTGTACGTGGAGATTTAACATTTTGCGAAACAAGATTTGACTTTGTTTTATAATCAAGTGTTTTAGATTTATTACGAAAAGCTAATGTTGAATTATGTAATTGCCATTTTGATGCTGTTGTTGGATCAGATTCAGTTGAAAAACTTGCTTTACGATCCTAGAGAAAATAAAAATGTGAAAATTTATTATCAGATATTAAATAGGAAGTTTATCGTTATAATAGAAAAATAAGAATCTTCAACAGTAACACATGATTAATTTGTACAGATGTAAGCCAATGCATTAATCAGCACCGGTTGCGGTTGCAAATGATTAATTTTTTTTGCTTTCGGGGATAGCGACTGGAAACATTAGACAATCCGGCAGCGGTGGTGTGTCTGGACCGCAAGAGCGTAAGTAGTAGTACGCGGCTAGACCGTTAGAGCACTGACACAACTATAGTGTTAGAGTGTTGGCAACGGTGGTTCACTCAATTGACTTACCTCTCTACTAACTAGTCGATATAAGTAATTATTTCATCTAGTATTTTTGAAACCAGATTTAATAAATCAAGCTTTTAAATGTGAACATTACCTTTCAGGATTGATTTTCCTGAAATTTTCCTGTATGTGTCTCGTTTGAAGATGAAGATGCAGATTTGTTTTATTATCATTACGGCTCTCTTCGAGTACAATTGAAGTGTTTTATATCCTAGCAAAAACTAAACTCTTATCATAATAATAGCCCTTCAAATTGGTTAGACTTGAATTTATAGAAGACCCACTAGGCTCTATGAAGGATTATACTGTAATATTTAAAAATAAATGATTTTTTTAACAGTTTGAAATGTCTTGAAATAACTCGTAGTAAAATCTATCGTTTGATGTTTTCTTAAGTGTTGATAAAGATTTTGGTTTTTACTTATACTAAAGATAGAACAAAGTGGTGTAATTATTTAAAAAATCACCTTCCTTCATCAAATAGATTTTGCGGCTACAATTCGAACTTCAGAAGGCTGTCCCTTTCCTGACCAAAAATGTTCAGTTCTTTCGTTTTTTCTGTTCTATCTATTGAGTACATTTGGAGAATTTAAATATAGCTTTAAAGTTAAAGAAAAGTCGAAAAATGCGAGATTGTCGATATAAAAATAGTTAAATTTTTCCGTTCATTCAAGTTTTATGAAAACTTACTTTTTACACAGAAACCAGCAGAGTTACCCATGTTCTTCAGACAAGGTACATCTGATAGCACTAAAATTATCACTTAAGTACTAGATAATGTTATGGATGCTTATTGTCTTTCATTTTAAGTAATATTATATTGCTAAGTTTCGGAAAATTTTACAAAGCATGCGTCTTGTTCGAGTATTCGCCGTCGTTGGGCTTTTTTAATTCATAGGATATATGAAAAGAGGAAATTAAAAAATATTGTGTTTCCAATATCTGTCAGATAAAGTTGAACTCCAATAAACATACTACGACTGAAAACGCGAGGCTATAGAGGAAAAAATGTTTAGTCCTGCAAAATCCAATATCTTTAAGAAAGAAACATACCCGTATGACAAATTTTACTCTACTCATTGCGATCTATCTATATTGAAAAATTCAGATTTTTTCTAATGAACAGTTTTCAAAAATCTATTAGATTGAACTTTTAAAAATTTTTTTGTATTATTACCTGTTCATATTTATTTCGTTTTTTCAATCCTAAATTTGACCATGATTTCATCACACTACCAGTTTTTTTCGAAGATTGATGATCCCGTTCATATGAAAATAATGAACTTGAATTCCATTGCCGTCCACCAAATACAAGTACAGCATTCATTGGTGTTGGCCCTTGAAAACGTTCATTTTCATGATATAATGATAAATATTGATTTTTAAGCCAAACAATACGTCGATCCGAACATAAACGATGTTTACGATATTGTGTTATTAACTTATCTATACTGGAATACCAAATTTGTGAACAATATTTTGGACTTATAAAACAAAGAGATCTGTAGAGGAAAAAAACCAAAGAGATTCTTTTTCAATATGAAGAAAAATGAAATTTACTTGTTTTCACTAATTGATGCACCATAAACAATAGTAAAACAATTTTCTGGATTTGATATATCATTTAATTTATAACGTTTTATTATTGGAAGAAGATCACAATGAAGAATACCACTTCGAATATGTTTAACATATTTTAATTGAAGAAAACCTTCGTCCATATCAACAAATGCTACATCACGTAGTATATAACGTTTCATTAGAATTGAATAATGTGCTGCTTCACTTGATACTTGATTAGCTGTATTTACATTTTCAATACTTCGATGAGTATCCCAAGATGGTTTTGTCCTAAATAAAGAAAAAAAATAAAGTTAGTAGAATTATTAAACAAGCAATTTTCATTACCAAGTTAATGTACAATTATCAAGTTCAAGTCGTACAGTAACTAAACATGTATGCATAGTATCTTCATCATAAAGAATTAATGTTGTACCATTTCTAGAACACAAAATTTAAAATAATATTTTCATAAATAATATGTTTAAAAAAAATAAAATATAACAAACCGGAGCATTTGTAAATTATTAAAATCAATAATATGATGCATTGATAAAAGTGATACTTCATGATTATGTTTTGGCTGTGTTATGGGTTGATAAAATGATACATTTAAACAATAATATGTTTCTGGTTCATCAATATCAAGTACTGAACGATATGGTAATACAGTATTTGTTGTATCACTATTCGCATTAGATGTTTCATTATCTCCAATAACTTGAATAGCTATATTAGCCATACGACGTTGATCATATTCAGTTATTGTTGTTGATGTACATGGAAATGATTGATGACGATTATATTTTGATTTTGGTATTCTAAATATAGTTTTCTTCTTAAACCAAAAACAAGAATAGAAAAAAACATACTTATCAGTTGAATCGTTGCTACTTGGAACACAAACAGTTGCTGCATGTTTTTCTTTCATATCTGGTATTAATGATTGTGAAGGTAATTTAACACGATTAAAATCATTACAACATTTATATAATGGTTGACGACGATGACGATTATGAAACATTGCAATATCTTTTAAAACCATATGAACAAGTTCGATTTTTCGTGTATTTATTAAACCACCAACACCAATACCTAGAGGAAAAAAAATTTATTTTATTTATTATTTAAAAAAAAAGAATTAATGTATTAGTTCTTACGTGTTAGAAAATGTTCTTGATTTTGAAAATCAGTGACAGTCTATAAAAACAAATATTATTTTTCAAGAAATTTGTTTTAATTGTTAAATGACATACTTCAATTGGTTTTTGTGTGTTACGATTACATAAAACAACAATACTTGGTACACTGCTTAAGATTGAACGAAGATCTTTAAGAAACGTACCAAAAAATGGTACAACTTTACATGTGGGAATATCTAATGCTCGACTAACAGCATCACAATATTGAGGTGTTTTTTCATTTGAGTTAAATGCATCAGTAAGAAATTTAAAGCCAGGAATTTCATCTGTTATGGTTAACCATAATGGACGAAATGCTTCAATTCTAAAAAAAAAGAAAAATAGAATTTTAGACTTATTTTATGTCATTATAAAAAATTTCAAGTCACTGCGAAATTCAAATTCTAATACATCTTTTTTTTTGAGATAACAAAAACTTTGACTTTTGAAGGTATATTTAAATTATAATTAATATTATGAAATGATTTATCATTTTGTCGATACAATCTGTACGGTAAGAACTATAGTACTCAGCTTTTTATTTTTTTGTTCAAACTAATCGTAAAAAAAGAGATGTACACTTTTTGTTCAATTTAATAATAAAATAATGGTTAGGACATCTGTAAAATATTCGATAAATATATAATTATACAAGAATTTTGACTATATAAGATTTCGTATTTGTTTATTGTAGGTTATTTCATAAGTACTATTTGATTCTTTATACAAACTCGACTAGTACGTAGCAACACTTGAGTGTAGGTTTTCTATAAAATATGCATTGAAGTAGAATAGTCTGTTATTTTTCAGTAATTCTTTTTGTTTCATATCTAGAATCGAGCGTCTTAGCTAGGGGCCTACATTGTTTGACACTTACTCATAAGGTGATGTGTAAGTATGTACGGCGCCAGAGCTGTCGCTGGCAAAGATAATAAAACGTTCTTTGAAAGACTTTATGAGAGTTTTATCCTAAGCTATTCAGTTTGATTTCATCTGTGTATGAGACCCATCAAAGTGAAAAAAATATCTAAGTCTCTATACAGTTAGATGAAATCAAGCTGAGTAGTTCGTAATAAAAATTTCGTAAGTTTTTTGTAGTTAAAAATTCTCATCATTTTTAGCCGCATATCTATCTCATTATATGTCTAGTATTGTTGTTCAAGCCTCGGTATTATGAGTCATAGAGTAACCGCAGACAAATCACTGACAGCTGTTTATCTCGGAGCAGCTGTTCGATAGCAATCTAACTAAGTTGTGACATATAACTACTTTTGTGGCTAGTATGTGGTTAGTTAGTGTATATGGGCAGCTCAAGCCATTGAACAAAAAAACTCGGCATCAGACGAATCTTCTGTCTAGAGTTAAAACTAGTACTAGTTGTACGGAAGATAGCGGGCTACCGAATCTGTTACTATGCAGAAGTTTTCTTCTTTGTTTTATATATAGAATTTTGTCACACTCACTTCTCTCGAACAATTTCACTAAAGTCTACTTATATTCAACAAACTATTTATGTTAGATAACAAAGCTTGCTTGAATTATTCCTTGTTTGATATTATTTAAATCGACCATACTCGATCGAAATAGAAAAATTTATCTATTATTTGGTTTTACGAACAAACTGCATCTAAAATTTTTCATTTTCGATCATTGCTTAATGTTGAATTTTAAATCAAGAAAATAGTTTGATTAAACTTGTGTTGATATCAAAATTTAGAATTAAAAAAAAATATTTTCGATACTCTTTTGTTTTTTTCATTTCAAAAATAAATCATATATACATGAATAAAGCTTTTCCTTCTACTAAATCACTCAAAAACAAAAACATACTTTAATCCTGCTAATATTTGCATGGCACTATTAAAATTCCCAATATACCAACAAGTAATTGCACATCGAAGTATTGATGCAACAATAGCTTTACGTTCTTGAAAACTAGTTTGTGAAACAATTAATTGTTGAATAAATGAACCAACCTTAAATTAGAGAAAGAACGAAATCATTAAAAAAAAAATTTAAATAAATATAAAACATACAGCTTGAAAACGTTGTACAAGAATTCGAATACTTTTTCCTTGTATTGATGTATCACCTGTTGGTAATAATGACATATCAAGTGTTAAATGTCTTAAATATTGTAATGGTGGTACACTAAGAAATATTTCATGTTCTATTTCAGTTAGACGTATAGCAACTTCTTCTGGAAAATCAAATAAATATTTTAATTCTTCAAGATCTGATGAAAAACATAATGGCTGTGTATGATCAGATGGATGAATATATAATGAATTAAATAGTAATCCAGATAATGTTGTTGTACGATTATTATGCATTACACTTGTTACATTTTGTATATGATCTGTTGATGTTGTTATATTTTGATTTGTTTGACTATTTGTTGTTGAATTTTTATACATTTCGGCTATTGTTTGATATGGATTTTTATTTGAATTTGTTCCTGTTGTTGTTGCTGTTGGTACAATTGTCATACGACGTCCTGTTTGATGTGATTGAGAACAACGACGCATTGGTGTATTTAATGGAATGTGTTTATCAAATAATGCAAAACCTTCAACATTAACAATTTTCCATAGATAAACAGTTATGGCACGTAAATCAGCTGTAGTATTTAATTGTAAACGCCATTTTGTTTTATTACGAAATTCTAAAACAAGATCATTTGTACCAGCACTTAAATGATGTCCACTTGTTATCCAATGCTCAAGATCAGGAATACGTTGTTCTTTATAAATAATACGTGTTTTCATATCTAATAAACAGATTTTATCCGAACGAATACATAATAGTCGATTTCCCTAAAATATAGAATTTAGAAAGAAAAATCATTAATGAAATCTGTGCTGAATTAAAACGTGAAACACGAAAGTAGTTGTTTTTGTTAATCAACGAAAGATTATTTTATTCTAATTATTTTGAGACACAATTCTTTATCATCATTTTACTTTATCCTTTCATAAATGCTATAAATAGTTCATATATTATAACGAGACACTATTCAGATACTGTCTGTGATGTTCCTCGGGTACATATCTCACGATTAGAGATGTGCGGGACCATGGTTACGCAAAAGAAAAGTTGCTGGGACCAGAACTACACCAGATTTATCGAGACTACAATTGGAATAAAAAAAACAATTGATTCCGCACATCTGTAGTTACGACCTGTGATGACCCATTTCTAATGTGTCTCTGACGTCTGTATATAGCAAGTCCAAAGGTTCTATCTCTATATTTCAACACTTCTTGTAGATCGTGTTTCACAAAAAAAGAAAGTTTTTTTTTTCTCTAATTGACTAACTTTTCGTTTTGATCGTTTGCCATGAATTTCTTTAACAATATATATTTCTGCATTATAACAAGGTAAATTTCGACATAAACGTACGTAACATTCTTTTAAACGTGTTGGATTATCATAATCATTTATATGAAATAATTTTCGTTGTTTATCCTTAATTAAATTAGAAAACAAAATAGAGAAGAATTATTTTTTTTTCTTACTTTGATTAATTTAAGAATTTCATTACTATTACGAAAATTTGGTGGAAGAAATGGTTTTTTCGCTTTATGTATACTTGAATCGACACGTTTACAACAAGGTATATCAGTTAAACGAAATTTAACTATATTACGACGATGCCGATCACGCCATGATGCTGTCATTGAATGTAAACCAGAAACACCACTTGTACCAGTTAATGATGATGGTGAGTTTTGATCATTTAAGCTTATATTTAATGTATGTAATTCATCCTCTGTGAAAAATTTAACAAAAACATCAATTATGAAAAGCTTATTAAATGTTCTTTAGTTTTTGAAAATAATCTTCTACGAAAGATTTAGAAAGTACTTTGATTTTATTTTTAAGTGTTTTAAATAGATGTTTACAGAGGGAATGTAAACGTACTACTGACGAGAGAACTACCCGAACTGATACTTACCATTTGAGTTCATATGGGTTAACCGGGAGGTCTCAGTATGGCTAGAGAATTTTCAAAAAGATTCGTGCCCATGAACCTTCGCAGCCGAATTATCACTGCTTTACGAAAGTTTCGATTCATCATTAGATATTTACCGAAAAATCAAATAACAGTATTTCGATCTGAAATTTCGCCCATAAACAGCTCAAATAACTACTAGAATATCTTGAAAGCTGCAGCCGAAAAGAATATTCCTTTGTCGAGATATTGAATTTGCAAGTAAACTCATTTTTTATGGTAAATGACCATGTTTCGGAAACTCAACGTCTTGACAAAGGAAGTCTTTTCAGCTATCATCTGTTTTTCTTTATTTTTCAAAATATCTCGAGAAATTCTTGAAAAATTCTCAAATATTTTACCTTCAGCAAGTTCAAGATTTTCTTCTGGCCATGCTTCTAGACGTAATTGTACAGCAGCTAAAGTAGCTGCTTCTTCTTTTGAACAAATTAAACGTCCAGCAACAATATCTCGTTGCATTTTAATATATTCTCGATAAATATCTTCATTATTAACATCATCCAGTTCTGTACCTAATGGTGACTCAACATCCTATATAAACAAATGAAACAAAATATATATAATTCAATTTCAAATAAATTTATTATTCGTTTCTTTTTCTTTACTTGAAGAGCAAGTATCTCCTTTATTTGACTTGTCCAACTACGAAATGAACTACGTAATGATTCGAGTAAAGCAAAAAAACTCTTTAATTCTTTTTGTACAAGATAATCTATAAATATAAAACAAAAGGTAGAACAAAAAAAAAAATATATATATTAAAACAAAATGATAATTTTACCTTGAAAATCTTCAGGCGATCTTAATACCCAACTAGCAATAAGAAAAAGAACTTCATTGCCTTGTTTTGTAGCTGTATCTTGTGTTGTTGCAGCCATAATAAGTGATTTAAATGAACGTTGTTTTTGTACAGGTGATGAAAAACTAAAAAGTGAGTCTTGTGATTTATTCATATCATTTTTTCCATTGCTATTAGTTTGTGTTGGTGCTGATAATTGTGCTGTTGTTGGATGTTGAGGTGATAAATAAGCGGAAAGTAAAGATGTTGTACTATCTGTTGAACGTGATGATAGAACATCACTAAAATTTGGTTGAAGATTTGAATTTATTGTTGGCATAATTGATGCACCACTTGATAAATTTGTTTCTTGAGTATTTGTTGGCATTTTAATTCCATCTGTACATGAACGACTACGATGTAAACCGTCTATTTCAAGTGGTAAATGTAATCCATGTCGATTCAAACGTACATCCTTATTATTATTATTATTATTATTATTATTATTATTACTATTATGACGTGTATTGTCTAATGAAGTTTTTGTATGATTATGAGATTTTGATTGGTGTCGACGATCAATTAATGGTGTTTGTTCAGTATGACTAATTGATGCTGATTCATAATGTGAATTATTATCATTTATTAATGATTCTGTTACAATTGGTTGCGAATGTGATAGTTGATTATTCATATGTGCTGATGAAGATTTTAATTTTGATGAATTTCGTTTACGTACAGAAGGATTTATTGAATTATTATTTACATGTGTTGGTGCATTCGACATGTTATCGACTGTTTTTGATGAACGAAATAAACTTTTTACTGTTCCTCGTACAGATATACGTGTATTCGATAGAGAACGTTGTTGTCGATTATCAGATGATGATAAATGTCTTGATGGACTACTATTATAACTTGACGATTTATTACTATCATCAGATGGAGTACGTACAGCAACAAATGGAATATTCAGAGTTGTCGAAAGACTACCACCGCCACCGTTGTCTGTTACAGATGATCCAGCTAAAAAAAACGACAAATCAAATAATGTATACGAGTAAAGTCGTCTAATTATCGGATGTTGTTTGAGTTCATATTTTGGTTATTAGTAGGACTCAGCAACGTTGAAACCGGTCCGGCAAACTGGTAACGGTCCGACCAGACTGAACCAGTTGAGGAAGTCAATCTGGCTGATAGAGACCGAAATTTCATCGGTGAAAGTTTTGAAAAATCTTCTTTATTAACCCTGTTTTTGGTCATGAAAATAAGATGTTACATGCTTTTCTGTTAGGATGCGTAAAAATGTGCTGAAAATATATGTTATATTAATCATTTGTTTTGAGGTTCTCTTTAAAAACATGAGTGTCTTTTACATGCTCTCCTAAACTATTTCATATTTCTAAAAAAAATTCGACATTTTTTAACCAGTTTTCATTAGAATTTGAACCGACCGTATCGCACTGATTTACCATTTCCTAACTGGTTCCAGCTTCGGGACTCAGTAAGACTAAGAAATTTCTAACAGGTTTTGAGTTCATGGCATGCCTAGATGGAGACTTGGTTGCCAAATAAATGTAGAAATATAGAATTTTTTTTCTTTGTTCGAAGAAGTTGACATCTGTAGTTTTTAACACAGAATCTTCATTTGATGCATGAAAAAGAATCATATTCATTCAACAAAGTCCGATCAATTTTCAGATAATGTTTATTTAATTCTTGCTGCTATATACATTACGGCAGAAAGGAAAAACCAAGTAAAGAATATATTTTTCACTTTGCTTGAAAACTACATCAGCGTTAACTATAGTTGATACCGTACAAACTCCTTTAATTAATTTCTCATATTCTATTTCAAGAATGATTATATTCAACTTAGTTGCGTCTTGTCTAGGCAGTGGCGGATCCAGGGGGGTGGCGGGGGTGGCGACCGCCACCCCCTTCGGACTTAACTTCACGTTGTTTCCTAGTGATTTTTCATGGATATCTTACATTGTTGTCTAAACCGCCACCCCTTCCGCCTATTGGACTTTATTTTTCTCTTACCCGCCACTCCCTTCAAAAATTCCTGGATCCGCCACTGTGTCTAGGCACTCGAAGTTCAAATGAGAATGGTTTTCGATCCATCCAACGTTATAAAGCAACAGAGTTTATCGAATATCTCCATGTAAAAATTCAAAATTTTTAATCGTGCTCATTAAATACTATGAAGACTGATGTTACACCTAATTATGAAGATATATTTAATGATACATTGAACAATAATGCACATAGATGAGGAAGTTAATGTATTAGTCTATGTTTTTGTTATTACCATTTTGTATAAGAGAAGAAATAAAAAAGATTTATATTAACTTTAATATTAAATGATAGATCTAAACGAATATTATCTCGAGATTAGTCGGACCTTCTTGAATGAATATGACTTCGACTCGGGTATCAAATGAAAACTCTATATAAAAGGTTTCAAATCTCAACTTCTTGGAATAATGAAAAAACCAAGAAGAAAATTAAAAATCCTATATTTCTACATCTATTTGATAAATAAATCTCTATCTACACAGTTGGATATATTCCCTTGTAAGAGTTTACAACCTGAAGATTGTGTAAACATATATAAAAAAGAATTTCAGGTTGTTTTTTTTTAATTTCTGTCAAAAAGTTCGAATAGATTTAGTTACATTCTGAAATAACTTGACTAACTTATGGAATTTAAAGTAAATCAAGATTTCATTTCGAGATTCTTCTTTTCTTATTCGTTGATTTTGAAGAATAAGATACACATTCGTCATATATCACGAACGAAAATTTAATAAAGCAGTTCTGTTTTAGAACTTAATTTTCCTCACGGAAACATTAATTTATCGTAATGATTTATTATTCTGTTTTACTTTTATCAATTAAATGATAACACGCAAACATGAAAACTATAATTAATTTATATTAATTAGTTCATTTATGGGTATATCCAATCGGTTTGGATACTTCAGTTATATTTTTTTTACCTATATAGTTTCAACCGTATATCAGAAAAGTGTGTTTGTTTTATTAACTATGGTACATATATTATGTTGATCGCTTTTTTTTTATTCAGACTTTCTGGTGTAAATTGGAAGATTTGTCAAGGATTTTTTTCAAAATCGCCTAATTAAAGTTGTATCTATAATTAAAAGATTCTAAGAAAGAATTTCGACAAACAAATTTTTTATATTTACATATATGGTTGAAGTTATAGGAGAGAAAACCAACTGAAATATTTAAGCTAATTAAACACTTTCATGTACAATATGTCCTTCCGAAAATTTGTATCTTCATCATTCGATTCAACTTTATCAACTAAGTTTTTTTTTTATGATAGATCCATACGCTGAGTTCTTATCTATACGAGTAAACTTCAAAAGAATTCTTAAAACCATCATTTCTAATCGAAATACAAAATATTTAGTCTTTTTTTTCTATATGTAGAAAAACATTTTACGGCGGCTTGTTTTTAATAGTCATTTCATAAACATTTATTTTCAAACTATAGAAAATCACTTTGTTTTAGTAATTCTTTTTTGTTTATATAATAATTATATAAAAGAAACTTTGGAGCATGTCAAGGTTATTTTGTTGGCCAATCGTTGAATCAACCAAAAAATTACCCAACAATCAGTTTGCTCGACATGAAACATCATAGAGTAAGTTTTGATGAGTGCATTACAAGTACAAATGGATCATGCTGAGTCTAAATACGACAGCTGCGTGTATTAGTCAATGCAAGTGAGTAAGCTTGCCAATAACATTCAAGAAAATGAAGCAATTTAAAAAAAGTACTCATCACATAATGTCTTTCTACATATAGCAAAAAGGGCTAAATTTTTATGTTTTATTTGGAACCGGTTCGATTCTTTTCAACCAAAGTCAGATCGTTCGACTGAACTCTTAACTTAATGAGCAAAAAACTAATGTGTTTAATATATCAATGAATCAATCAGTTGTTTCGAGAAATAATCTATTACTTCAGTTCTACGAAGAAATACAATGTAAAATTCATATAACACTAGAAATTTTCTAATAGTAACAACTCATATTTTATTCTATCATGTTTCATATATACTAACTTGAAGAATGTATGAAGGTTTCATTCAAACTTTTTGTCTAGTAACCCCTCATAATAATTACTAATGTTGAACAACATGTATATTATGCTTTGACTGACTTTTCAATAATGACATGACTTTTTTAAAAATTGAGAAGTTGCATCTATTCTTATTCAAAAATAATTATTTAACTCAACTGAAAGACATATCAATTCATAAAAGGATGCTCTTTCCGGCAACAAGATATTACAGTTTTTATATTACACTTCCTATTTTTAATATTTCTTAATATGTAAATGTGTTCATAATTGCACGATGCTAAATAATTAGCACGATCTTAACAACAGAACGGAATCGTTACTGAATATTATGTGATAGAAGTATTAATTGAAAACTGCTAGTTATTAGGATTTTATGAGAGTCGATTAAATGTAGTCTAGAAAAATGAAATCGAAATTTCGAGGTGAAACATTTTTATTTTCTATCAAAATTAATTCCTATGACCTAGATAACCTTTCGTGATCATAACAAATTCATTCAGCATGATTTGAGGTTCTCATTATATATTGAGAAAGTGTTGGCTTAATGTTATAACAATTCATTATTATTCCCTTCAAAACGAGGTTACTTTTGAGAAAAATGAAACTCTTTACATAGTCTCCAGGTGACTACAGACATAGAAAAAAAAATCAATGAACAAACATCAGGAAACCAACTCTTGTGTGATTCCAATATAGCAATCCGAAGAATATTAAGGGCAACAAAATTGGTTTTTTCATCCGACTCTATCTTTGCTTTTCACCATGGTGAATTCACTTATTATCAATTTATGATTACACTGCTGTTTCTGAACAAACTAAATTTTTTCTACTACGAAAATAAAGTCTATTGATTAAGAAATAGTAATTTTTCAACACGAAATTGTAGAAAAATAGATAACTACCTCATTAAATTTGCTAAAATTTTTCTGTCATATTTTTAGCAAATCGTGACTTTTTTTCACGCATCACTTAATAGAGAAAGTTAAGTAATCTCTTGGAAAAACTTTCCAGCAAAATCTATAGACCTATATTCTTGAAAGTAATTTTTTCAAACACAACCTATATGAGCAAAGTGAAATATTAGAAATATCTATTTTGTAAGATAAAGCCACTTTTGTTATGCGGTCACGTAGAGTATGTTGAGATAAATGTATGATAAAATTTTCACACGTATAGGGCAAACCATTTCCAAGAAATTGATGACTTTTTAAATGTGTAGTGTTAGCCACCAGTCAACCAAGTTTTGGAAAAAATGCTTCTCTCTCTACAACGAAAGCTCTGGCAATGTAGAGCTGTTGAATTCAACAATTTCTAGACTCAAGTCCGATCGTAACTAGATTTAGATATTGCGGTCAAGAAGAGTTTTATTGTTTTCGTTCTAATTTTTTTTTCGGTAAATAAATAAAAGGTGTTTTTTAAATAAAGTGAACAAAAATTTAAAAATAATTATTACATGCATTAAAGTTTTATTCTGATTTGGATCCGACGGGCTCTACTGACAGGTCTAAAACTTTTCATTCTTAGGTAAAATAAGATAGATCAATTTTAGAGCCGATATAAAAACTTCGATTGTGCAGCTCACTAGTAATTTGATCGATTTTCTTCTCGTGAAATGAGCCATAAGAGAATCAGAAGTAAAATTTTCTGCGAGGAGCTCCGTCACTATTTGGAGACTGTTTTTGAAATTTGTTCGAATAAAACTCGATATATGGACTTGTTCATTTAAATAGAAAAACTTAACTGATACATTTAGATCAAAATAGTAGAGATGGTTTTTTGGGACACAGGCGTATATCCTTCGATAACTTACAATCTTCATCATTGATTTTTGATTTAAATAAATTTTTTGTTTGTCGTCCTCTCGTATTTGATGATGAACCTGGTGATGAATATTGTCGATGAGTATTAAGACTTGTTGTTGAATTTGTTTGATCAAATTGTGTTGAAAAATCATAATTTAAACATGTTGGACTTGGTAATAATGGATTTTGTGAATCACTTAATTGAAATGAGGGTAAATTTAATAATTCTTTTTCTAACAATTTTATTTCACCAACACCAGCTACATTTGCTGTTGCATTTGTTGGTGATTGAATATTAGTTTTTGACATTAATGAATCTGTTTCAACAATAGCTTGTAATAATGGATTACGATCATTAGTTATATTTGATTGTGTATTTTTATCTGTATATCTCCAAAACCATTTACGTGCTGTACTCGGTTGATTGGAAGTATTTGTTGTTGTTGCTGATGACGATGATGATATAGCTGATGTTAATAATAATGATAAATCATTTGCGTTTATACCACCGGATGATGTTGATGTTATTGGTAGATTAGTATTCGTTAATATTTGAGTGTTTGTTGGCATTATACCTGTTAGAGATGTTTGCGGTGCTGTATTTTTCGATACTTTTCGATGTTTATCATATGTTGATTGTGTAAATTTTGTTAATAATGATGAACGATCATTTGTTGATGGTACATTATCTTTTGTTAATGAATTTCGTTGTTGTTTTAATGGATCTAGTCTTGGTAATGTTGGAATAGATGCAAGTGCAGATGTACCTATATTTGGTGTTATAGATGATAATGAATTTTTATTATCATTGATTTGTTGTGTAGTTGATAATGATATTGGATTATTAGGAACTGATTTTTTTTTAAATAATGGTGTAAATAAACGATGTTCAAGTAAACGAAGTATGATAACAGGATGTATCACAGATGATAAATACGAAAGATTATAAAGAAGACTATCACTTGAATTAATCATTGCTGTTACGGATGGTGATGATGTTGGACTTGTTGGTACTTGAGATGAATCTTGACATTCTTTTGATGTAGATCTTTTTGGATTAATTCCATTCTAAATTGGAGAAAAGAAAAAGTATGAAGTTTTTCGTTTTTGAAAGATTGTAAAAGAAAATCAAATCAAATGGAAAACATACTTTAAGTAATTCATCAAGCAATTTTTCAATACAAATTCCAGCAAATGATGTCCATAATGTTCCAACAACTGTTTCACCGATAGCCATATGATGAACAAAATTATTTTCAAATGATTGTGGTTTATCACAATCAAGTGGTTCTGGTTCAACATCTAATTTTACAAAAAAAAAAAACGGAAGAACAAATAAAAGTGATTGTTTCAGTGATAAAAAACTGAGATAGACGGAAATGTCTGGCAGTGTTGCTCACATTTACGCACTTCGTACGCCTTTCTTTTCTTGCTCGGTGAATACGTTTCGAAAGCGGAAAATCGTCCCTCCTCTATTTTTTTTCAGCATGAATAGAATCATGAGAGATCGCAGCATGGGTTCCATGAAAATTTGTGCGATTCTGTATAGGCGTGTTCAAGAGTACGGGACGAAACACCCCGTACTTCTTTCATACAAAATATTTTAAAATGTTAGTTTTATAATTTTAAGAAGTAAATTTTTCTATTATCTGTTTTCATAATACATCATTAAAGACTATCAAACTTTTGCTTTTTTTTTTTTCTTTTTGACTTATGAGTAAAGCTTTAAGAGATTATATTCTATTCACTTCATTTCTTTGCTAATTTGAATAGACAATAATATATGTGCCATAGAATGACATTAATTTGGCTGAAAAAGAAAATGTTGAAAGAAAAAATAGGAAGAAAGAAGGGATGTCAAGAAAAGAATGTCAAAGAAAAAAATGGTGAAAAAAAAACCGGTGAACCGAAAAAAAGGTTTATTTTGAGATTCTCGACTAGTACTACGAAGATATTTTACTGCATCAAAACAACAGTTTTCTCTATATGTATCAGTGTGGGATGTATATGAGAATATCAGTCTTCTCTTCGCGCCTAATCCTACATTCATACTCATACTTTATACTTCATCCTTAACAGAATCAATTAATAACATTTGAAATATTTTCCACTTTTTTTTAAGGGTATATGTTTCTTCGTCATTTTTATACGATCAACATTTTTTCTTTCGGTCGAATTAATACATATCGTGCAATAAGTAGTACTATAATTTATTCAATCGATTTGATTAATTCTATATATTTAAGCATAGATCGAAATCGATATTTTTCAGCTTCAATTAGCGATGTTCAAGATAAGCTTTTCTTCTACTCTGCACCTTGACTACGAAAAATTTTCTAACCATTACTCTATCTTATTTTGAAAGATCTCTACCCTGCAGGGTAGGATAAGGTAACTGCGCACATTTCTAGTTTCAATCAAATAAAATACTACTACTACTACTACTAGTATTATTATTATTATTATTATTATTATTATTATTGTAAATAAAAATGTTCTTATCATTGAAGTGGATGTCGGTACATATAGATATCAATCAAGATGATTGCTGTTAGGTTTAATAAGAGAAAACAAAATAATGTTTTCTTTCTCATTTCATATAGGAACATTTGGAGTTTCCTTTTTCTTTCCTCCCACAGCTATCAAAGATGTTACAACATGACATCAGCTAATAACGATACTATGGTTTTGTTTGATCAGATCAAAATTCACTTAAGTAGAATGAAAAATGACTCTAGGAAGTATCTTATCTTTCACAGCTGGAATTTCTCATCGGGATAAAACCGGTATTGGCATAACCAGTATTATTTTAGATCATGAATCTCTTATTCATAAGATTAAAAAAAAAAGTACAAAGTGAATTCATTCAAGATCTAAATTCATGCTTTCAAACTTACCAAGTATATCAAATAGATTAACTTTATTGCTAACTTTTGTAAGTAAACCCATATAAATAAGAATTCTTGCACCAAGATGTTTAACATAACGAGCAAATTTCGTTGTTTGATTTGTATAAAACATTTCGTCAGCAGGTAAAATTAAATGTAAAACAGTATCGGGTATATCGGCTTGTGTTAATATTTCATGAGAATCGGGATTTAATGCCAGAACACCCAATGTTTGTAAAATCAAACAAATTAAATGCTTGGAAAAGAGAAAAAAAGAAAGAAAACATATATATATAAAACATGTTATTAATATAACCTAAATAACAGATGAAGGAAAAAGAAATGTCTCAATCTTATTAATATATATCTATATATATTTATTTATTTATTTTTTGGTATACAGAAGAATGTTTTTCTGATTAACATCATATAAGTAATTGAATTTTGATTTATTTCTCTTTCTTATTTAATTGAAGATATCAAAAAATAAAACGATGAAAAAGAAGAAAAATTTAATTTTTTTTGTTTTTAATCTATCAAAATCTTATTTACCGGATCATTATTAATATTCAACATATCAATAATAATAGCTAAATTTTCTTTTGTACTAATAAATCTCATTTGAAACGTATGATCTTGACAAAGTATTGTTAATATACGTGCCGCTAATATAACAACACAATGATGTGTACATAAGGGTGAACGTGTTGATGGTACACATTTAGGTCGATTATTAAATTCTCTTCGATGTGCATCTAAACGTGTACGCATTAAACGTAAAAGATGTATTGGTTCAATTTGATATAACAATGAAAATGGTTCATATGTATAAACTGCATTTAAAGTATCATTTGATATTGTTGATGAATTATTTGTTGTTAAATTTTCTGAATTAAGTAAATGTGATTTAGATAAATTTGATGGTGATATTTGAGGATTTGTTGTTGAATCAATTGATGATGTTTTTTGTCCTTGTATTGTTGATATATTTGCTGATGATGATGGAAGAGAAACAGGAGAAGATGATGATGTTGGAGCTATATTATCATTATTACTATACAATGGAATCCATCGTTTTGATGCTTCACGTGTTAATATTCCCGTATTTCCACTAGAACCACTACCACCGCCACCGCCACCGCCACCACCAGGTCCAGGTCCAGAAGTTTGTTGTGTTGTATTTGATGATACTTTTGAACTTGAATAAGTATTACTACTACCACCACCAGTTGCTGCTGCTGCTACAGCTCGTTTTTCATCTGTTTCACGTGAAATTTTTCTTAATATACTTGATAATGCTGAGGTTTTTGGTAAACGATCATTTCCATATTTTGAATCATCAAGAGAATTTGAATTTGATGTTGAAGAATTTACATTTATCATTGAATTTAGTGTTAATTGTCGTCTTGATGGTGGTATATAACATGCATTATAACGACCTGGATTTATTAAATTATGATATACATATACGTCATATAAACGATTTATTGTTATTAATGCTAAATATTGCATATTTGCCATATCACTTGATAATAATTCCAATGATATATCCAATAATTTTTTTGTATGTACTTGAAATTTTTCAACATGATCACGTTTATCTTGATTACGTAAAAATTCTTGATAACACGTCTAAATAAATATATTTATGTAATGATTATCAATTGATTATAAATATGTAGATATTTTTTATAAATATGAAATATGAAACAAACCTGTGCAGTCATTGAAAACAAGAAGAAAAAGAAGAAGAAGAAGACAATAAAAATTTATGTCAATGATAAGTACAATCAAATGATACTCTGTTCCCTATAAATGACAATAGATAGATAGATTGTCTATATATCTATTAGAATCTCTTCTTCCTTATTCTTCGAAAAAATGATTTGCTACTCGCTCTATTTCTCTTCTATTCCTTCTTTTGTCGTTGTTGTTGACGCGCTCTTCTCTTCCGCTTGCCATACTTCGAATGGACATGATGCTGTGCTTTCTCGCTATGATATAGTAACATGGGAAAATCATGTCATACTCTGCTTAACATTGATTTTGACACTTTATGATTACTAGATCTCACGTATCCTACTAGTAACATTATATCAAAAGAAATGATATTCAATTCATTATCGGATATTACTTAATATTTATTTACTTGCCAGCTTAAGTTTATATTTTTGATGATAGATGTATTTCATTCTCAAGGGACTATTTAATCACTATTCTATAAATTGATAATAATATCTACATATGTCTGACATTCACGTAAGTTTCTTTCTTAGCGTAGATAGACTACCTGTCTTGATAGCCATTTGTTGACACGACATGGATCAACGCTATTTCCTCTTTTCTTTTCTTTCTTTTTTTTCCTATTATTTAGTTAGCAGTGCTAATGGGCATGCTGAGGGATATCATTCTTCACTTTTCCATATTGACCATATTTAGATTATTTTATATAATAACAAGTCAAGATCAACAGACAAAATTTTGTGATGTTTTGCTGCTTTCTTTGTTTTTTGTTATTTCTTATTTCAAGTGCATGTTTTTATTAACAATGAATATAAAAAATTGAGAATGAAAAAACCAAATTACACTTTGGGACTCATATTTTTTTTTTTGTTTCCTTTGTTCATTTTCCGTCATTATTATAATGTTACTATATCCATATTCATTTCGAACAAATAAATAAGTAGAGAAAGAAGAAATATAAATTTATCAAGGGAAAAAATAAAAACGATAGCGGAAATTATTCAATAACAAGAATAAGTACTCTCATTTATATTCATTTGTAGAGAGTAGACAACGAATAAACTAAGATAGAACTATAAGAAATATAGATAGACAATCTGTTTCCTCGTTTCTCTTTTTTGCTTCATATACCGATTGTGTTTGCTCGTTCACATAGAGAATAGAAAGTATTGATCGACTTCTTCCTACGCTTGATGCACTGCTATAACTATATGAATATGACACAGTAGAGAACATCATTAGTTGCAATTACTTCTAGCATTACAATAGCGTAACGACAGTTTTCTCATTCCTTTTTCTTTTGTCCTATCTCTATGCATACTGTTGTGTAAACATACTCAGGCTCCTTCGTCTTTCTCTTTTGTTCTTTTATGTGATAGATAAACAAGTACCAACAGAGAACATCAATATATACAAAAATATAAAAGCTGTTGATTATTGTTTCTCTGATGATCTGATGATGATTTGCCAACTGTTGACCCTCTTTTTTTTTCCTCATGTCTTCTTTCTTAAACATGCATTTAACAATAGGATGTAGTATCACTGTCATGTAGGATAAAGACAAATATAACACAGCAGGTTATTCCTCTTTTTTTTTATGAATAGATAAATGCTGTTCTAATAATGACACAATAACAGTCAATCTAAATCTAAATAATTCCGTATCTAATCGATTTTTCTTTGGGTGAAATAGAAAAAAAATTGATTTCGTTATGGATCCTATTCTATTCTTGTTTTTTCTATTCATGATTAGTTGATTGAGCATGAAAAACATAGAGACTTATCGTTTCATTCTTTGTCAATGGAAAGAATGAACAGATTGAAAGGATCGCACAGAAGGGTTACAGAGCGTATATACACGACCTTTGAAGGCTAATCGAATTCTGAATCGTCGGATGAAGCATGCACTAGTGCACGAGTAAAATAAGGGTTGATTATGTGTCGCTAGTTAAAAAGTAGATCAATAGCAAACAACAATCACACTGTTTTGATATACAGCCTTGTTTGAACATCTTTTCTTTTTTCTTTTACTCTCTCACACTATTAAGGGGACATAGGATATAAATATATCTATCTAATCTTGTTTGCATTTATAATTATATTGATTATCTTTAATGTAGCTTTCAAAAAATAGAACAAAAGAAAAAGAGATCTTCAATTCTTTCCTTTCAATGAATTGCTTATTAATAAAGAAAAAAAGAAATCTTTACTCAATTAATAAGAAATAGAATTTTTATTAATGTTTATGCTATTAAAAAGAAGAAAAAGTACAAGAATATTCTATTTGATGGCGAATACTAATAAACAAATGCAATATATACAATCTCATACGTCAGATTCCAGTAGAGGGCGTTGCATATTTTGTACTCCATGAAAGCCAAAGACTATGATTCTTATTTATAAGTATATATTCATATATAATTATCAACGAACAACTTAGTCACTGTTGAGCAATAACATAATAGTAAAGTCGAGTATGCTAACATGTTCTTTAAAAGTTCACATAACATATAATGTACGCTAATATTATGATGATACACTCATAAGTTTTCTTTATCTTTTAAAATATCTAATTTAATCAATGAGTACAAAACATCATTTCTAATATACAAAGACTATTTTATACAGAATATATTCAAATATATCGAACAGTGCTTTTTCATCTTCCTTTTGTTTTCATATATAAAGACAAAAAAAATTTAAAAACAAAGACTACTTACGTTTAGTAAGGTATGAAGAAGTTCTGCAATACGTGCGTGAACTTGTGGTGATGTTGCTTGACTTATAAGAGTTAATATTTCGTCCATTGAATTTTGCATACGCAATAAATCCATCAACTGATCGATACATTCGCTATTAGTCGCAAGTCGACTTAATTCAGAAAATCGTTTAAATAGACGATCATTGAGCGCATTGGCTATAAAAAGAGGCAATAAAGATGAGCAACATTAAAAGAAAATAATCGGAATAAAAGGCAAGAATAGCACCACTATACCAAGAGCTATGATAATAATAATAACAATCGTAAAAACGATGATACCAGGATGCCTATCTGTCAACTAGTAGAATTCTTTTTTGTTTTGTTACACATATATGTACACAAGTTAGTGACGCCCTCATGTCTATAGAAAGACTATAAACCATCGCAACTAACGAAGTCAAAAAACAGAATATGTCAAAAGTCTTGACTAATACAATCAAATAAGAATGATAAAATGCATATGAATGCTTTAACATGTTTCATTTAAGAAGAAAAAAATCACTAGCAGAAAATATTGACATAGAAAAAAAAAAATAAAACGAACTATTTTTCTTTTTGTATTTATCGTGTTACTAACGATAATGTAGAATAAAGAAGAAAAAGGAAAAGAAGATATGACTGATGTTGACAACAACATTATATAGTAGAAAAATAGTTATAGTAAAAAAAAAAAATGATGCATCGTGATGATCATTAAAAAAAGGAAGAACTTTTTTTTTTCTTTCTCAGTCTCTCAAATAACGTCACAGAATAGCATAAAAGCCTTATTCTTATTATGGTAATGACAGTATAAAAGTTTTTCGAAGGACTTATTTTTGAAAAATTCTCTTAAATATTAATAACTACTGATTTTTTAAATTTTTTTTGTGTTTTACTAATACTTCTATTCTAATTTAAAACAAGATTAATGTAGGTGAAGTACTTCTTCTCCTATTTCATGCTTGGCATATTAAGAAAAAAACGAAGAATTGTAACTCTCATTAGACAATACTATATGTTACAAGAATTTTTCCTTTTTCTCGACACAAAAATCATAGATCAAAGATATTCTCAATAAAAAGAAAAATAGCACGAAGGAATAATTAAAAACCGAGTTGCAACTTTCAATAAGATGTTTTAAAGGAAAAAAAAAGAAAATAATAAATTTTTAAATTTAAAAAAGAAAACAATAATTATGATGATGCCATTTGGATTTATTATAATATTCTTCTCAATCGATAAACTCATAAGTTTTATACAAACATATAAAGAAACCGGAAAAAACTGGGGAAATATTTTCGAGTGGCAAACCAAAAATAATGAAAACAAATATAAATATATAAGCATAAAAGCAGAAGTTTATTAAGAAAAATAAAAATACTGAAGATAGTTTATGATAAAATATATACTCAAAAAATGCACCGTAAGTACAAGATTCTATTTCGATTATCCTATCAAATAACAATTGCTTCTTTTTTTTATAACTATAATAAAGAATAGTCTATAATCGTTGTTAAATAATAATAAGAAAGAAAAAAAGATTTCTTATTTTTAGTTTTATAAAATATTTAAATACAGACAGAACTCATATTAAAATATCTTGTAGAACTATATATTGAATTTTAATATACTAAGCTTGTAATTAGATCATTTGTTAATAAACTCACCTAATGACGTAGATAATAAGTTTTTCTATCGGTCACCTCGAACTTAGGAAAATGATAGAGAAAAATTTTATCGATATTAATCTATGTGTATATGATGAAAAACAGTATTATGTAAAACTTATTTGTTATATATAAGCGATAATATTTGCGGATATTTTAAATACAAATTACTAAGTAAGAAGTGCGAACAATCATCTAATGTAAAATCTTTCTCGCTTTTTTTTAATTTTCTCTTGCACAAAATGAACTAAACCGTTAAAGAATGATGGAAACACCATCGGAAGTCACGGCCTCTCGCGATTATATACGACTATAGAACAAAAACACCGCTCTTGCATATATATACACACGTTCATAATCAACCATTCGTGTGCGAGAGTTAGTGAAAAAGAGACGTGAGTTTTCTCGTTTTTTATGCTACTTAATGAAATGGTAGGCATACCTTAGATAATGATAGATGTAAACGGAGAAATGGAGCGAGAAGATAGGAAAGGTGAGACTATCTCCTGATAAACAAAAAAAAAGAAAAAAGAAAAAACAATTTCGTCAGCAAGTTTATGTTTATGTTTTTTGTCAGTACCGGAAATCATTCATACACACATTTGCATAATATATCTTCTATTTATATCTACGTTTTCTTTTTTTTATGTCTAGCAAAATGAAGAAAGTAAAATAGAGAGAAAAAAGCTATTTACATTCGAATTATGGTGGCTATATCACTTGTCATCGGAAATAAATTTTCTTCTTCGTGTTTTCTACACTTATTTTGTCATGAAATTGTTATCGTTGTTAACAGTCATGGACATCCACAATAAACTCATTTCGAAGAAACTAACTCTATTAGTATGTATGTATATATAAATATCGCAATGGAAGTTGAATTAACAAGAGATTGTGCATATAACAAGATATACTCAGAAACTATATGGTAAATGATTAGAATATTATGGAAAATGGTTTTGGACAGATTATTGTAAACAACTGGTGTGCGTGCATATAGAAAACTGCATCTTGTCGAAAAGGTTGCAGCATCTGTCAAATCATCACAATTACTAAGTATAGTTAACTAACTTATAACAGTGGAAAATTCTGATCGTCCTACGCCTTGGAATTGCAATGATGGGATGGCAGTAAACGTGCTTGTCGATGGATCAGCCAAATAGAGCGAAGAAGAAACTACCTTAGGGCAAGAGAGAGAGAGACACACACACACAGAGGAAACTGGTCCTGCCAATATAAACATGCCCCAAAGAGAGAGCAATGAAGAGCGCGATCAATACAATTGCCGTTCTGTTACTCACTTTCTGCTGATGCGTGAGCTGCTGCCGCTGCGGAGTGCTGTTGCTGACGCGTTGATTTATGGGCATGAAGAATGTTGACAGCCAACGATGAGGTACCCGTCTAAAACGACACGCACACACACAAAAATATAGTTAAATAGAGACAACAGAAAGAGGAGGAAAAAAAGAAAGAGACACTCACAATAACTGATTAATCTTATTTTTATCTTTCAACTATAAAACTCATTACATATGATCTTTCTTGGATTGTCCTCAGAAATATTTTTTTTCCGATCTATAAAAGCAAAATTAATTAATTTATGACAGACAATAGAGACCAAACAATATAGAAAAACAGATAAAGATAGCTGGTTTTAGTAAATATAGAAAGAAACAAAAAGAAAAGGAATTACAACTCAATCAATCATTCAATAATTATTTAACGAAACAAACTAATAAATCAGTCAGGATCAAAATATTTAAAAAAGAAATCTCAATTAGATTGTAGGCATATGTCAAAAAATTCGATTGATTCAATCATTCTAATTCCATAAAATGCTATACGTTTACATTTTCATGCTTATATAAAAGCATCAAAAGGTAATCTTTCAAGATTTTTTTTTTCTTATCAGGTTCCTCTGCTTCTGTTGAATAATATTTCTAGTCTATCCAGAGAATCAAAAAGCTATTTTTGTTGTCTAAAGAAAATAATAAAAAACAAACAAGGCCTTCAAGGACAATAAGTTACCTGGATTTTGATTGATTAAATCTCATATATTCTAAATTTATAATATTTGAAATTTCATTTTTTTTCTTAAATATGAATGATTGATTTTATTCTTTATATAAATTAAGAAGGCTTAATATAGAATGATATGTATATCTATATATATATTAAAAGCAATTTTCATGTCTTTTTATACAAAAAAAAAAAAAAAAAAAAAAAAAAGAAAAGGAATTTGCTTGTTGTGATATTCAAATAAAACTTTTCTATATATAGTGTTAATCTTATCGTATTTTAATCGACAATAGCTGTGTCTATTAACATTTCTTCTGAATAAGATAGGAAAATTCCCGACAGATTATACTCTATGATATACACTAAAGTAGCTATTTTTGTTTTCATATTAAGATAATGCTGGCAAGAACTTTTCATCGAACGATAAGAAAAACAATCCAAATCTAAATGCATACATTGATTGAATTTTTTTTCAATAAATCCCAGTATGTTATAACTAATGATATATTAAACAGAATTATTGTGTTTTTCATTTTATGTATAAACATAGCAGAAGAAAATTTTGAACTTTTAGATACTGCCAAAGGTACGGTCTCATTAATCTATAAAATAAGACTAATCTTATGGTTTCTATAATTATAAAAATAACATTTTTGCGTTTTTCTAATAAGAAACATAGAATTCAAAGCGTTGTGACATATATTCATTCATTTTGGTTAATATAACTTAGGAAAATTTTTAATCTAAAAAAAAGGAAGCTTTTTTTGGCAAAAATATAATAAATATTTCCTTTCGTGAACGGAGATAATATAAGTGCCAATGAAAGACTGAAGTACGTTTATTTTTTTCAAACAACAAAAAAACTATATTACTATTATTATCATTCCGACCCTTTTTGACTAGTTTGTTCTCAGATATTAAAATTGACCGTCTTCATTCAATGATTGAAAATCCTCTTTTTCTTATATGTCATAGAATTAGAAATGCTTTTATATCATCTAAATAAACTTCTTTTTCTTTTTCTTTCTTGTCAAGTTTTCTATAGAAAATTGTCATTTTAACATGAAAGAATACTCTAGTCTATCAGTTACTAAGTATGATATTTTCGGAATGCGATCAAATCGTCAACAATTACAGATTTTCTAGCAGAAAGAAAAAAGCATGTAGATTAGGGTCATGGTTCACATAAAATTGTACAAATGATAAGCATAATTTATTTGCGATAGATACTAAAAAAAAAATCTGTACCGGTTTTACAAAATTACACATTTATTTCATTTCAAAAGGTCAATGTCTGAAATACTCTAATTTACATAATTAACCTATAATTATCATGTTAATTATATGTCTCGCTAATAAACTACGGTTTTTGTCAAGTCCATCGAACTTTAGT